GCTTGAACGAAAGTAACATAAGGAACAATGAAATGTGAAGGGATACTTGGATTGTCACGTCGTAGGTTCGTTGCAATTCGGTGTCAAACTACATTTATTATCCAAGGTCTACTTACAAGTCTTCTTTAATTGGTTTTGGTTGTTTCTCAAAGTAGAAATAGAAAAGAATTGATGTGCAAACGAAGTACAATATCTATATCTTTTGTTTTGCATAACGGTAACACATAGCTTAAATCATAGTTAAAATTAATAGTTTTTCAAGAATGTAGTAGGTAAAAAACGTGACCACTGTTTTCCCATGCACACTTGTGTCATATTAAATCAATAGAAAGGACAACTGTTACAATAAGAAAATATTTTATTTTTAAAGATAACAATTTTTCAAAGACCGTTTAATTGACCTATATAAACATTTTATTTTCTCAATGCAAATTATTGAAGATAATAGAATCTTATTTCTTGACCCTCGTAGGGCGATCGAGGCATTTTTTTTCGGTGAAACATACCACCTTTTTCATGAAAGTGTAAGTAATCGGCATAGTCAACTTTCGTGATTGAAAATTGAAAAATTACCAATTAATAGCTGTTTCGCTGCTTTAGTGTTATTTGCCTATATACGATATGTTTCATGTGTGTGTTATACTTTCCACACCTCAAAATGTAGGCTAGGCGATAAGAACGCTCTTTTGTTATTTGATTGAAGCTATCTCACCTATTTAAATGAACATTCCAAAAGAAATTCGCCAAGATTTACTCGTTGCGTTTGGCGCCAAATTATGAATAGTGACCCTTCTTTCATAATTCCAAGACAGATTAACTGTTGCAGAATTATATGTGCATACAAGTGAAGTAAGAGTAGTTGTTCAATAGCGTAATCGATAAGCGTATTGGATTTTCACACTCGTGACCCGTTTCAATTCCTAATGTGTCCAAAATATGTTTAATCCATTTTCAGCTCGATTTTATGGGTTATTTTTCGGAATCGGACGGAAGACCTACTCGTTGCTCGCAACGAGATCGTTTCTAGTTCTTCTTCTTATTATTATTCTTCTTCATCCAAATTTTGTCCAGGCCGTAACTTGAAAACCCTTTGACCTGAAGACTTCATACTTGGAACTTAGATAGATGACCTTGAGGCGGAGTGTCCGGCTTCAAAATATTTGACCTTGGTCTATATATAAGGTCAAGGTCAAACTTTTACATTAAAATAGAGTTTTGGCAATAGCTTGAGTACCCTTTAATATTAGGACTTCAAACTTGAAATATAGAAAGAAGACATTAAATACAAGATGTAGTGCACCTAAACTTTGACCTTGACCCCTTTCTATGTTCAAGGTCAAATAGAGAAAAAACATGATTTTAACATAACTTTAGATACCTTAGACATTTAGACTTCAAACTTGGAATATGCAGAAGACACATAGGAGAAGGGTGTATGTGATCAAAATTTTTGACCTTGATCCAATGTTTATTGGGTCAAGGTCAAACTTTCACAACAAAATAGAGTTTAGGCCATAGCTTGAATACCATTTGATATTAGGACTTCAAACTTAAAACATAGAAGGGAGACATTAAATACATGATGCAGTGCACAAGAACTTTGACCTTGACCCTTTTTTTGTTCAAGGTCAAATATAGAAAAACATGATTTGACCACTACTTGAGATATCTTTGAGATTTAGACTTCAAACTGGGAACATGCAGAGGACACATTGGAGAAAGTTTATGTGATCATATTATATGACCTTGATCCAATATTATTAGGTCAAGGTCAAATTTTCACATCTAAATAGAGTTTACGTCATAGCTTGAGTACCCTTTGATATTAGGACTTCAAACATGTAACATAGAAAGAAGACATTAAATACAAGATCTAGTGCACAAGGACTTTGACCTTGACCCAAGGTCAAATAGAGAAAAAAAAAATGTTTTGAACATAACTTGAGAATCTTTTGACATTTAGACTTCAAACTTGTAACATGCAGAGGACACTGAGATGGAGAGATTATGTGATGAAAATTTTTGACCTTGATCCAATTATTATTAGGTCAAGGTCAAACGTTCATATGAAATATATTTGAATTGATAACTTGATACCTTTCTTGACAAGTAAAGACAACTTTAAGCCTAAATACACTACATCAATTTTTTTTACCTTGACCATTTTCTTCTTTTAAGATTAAATTAAGAAAAAAGCAAGACCAGACAATAACTTTAGATCCTATAAAAGACTTGAAAGATGCACTGCATTATTCTTTTTCACCTTCATAGTAAAACTGCCTTTGTTAATGTTGTTAAAGAAGGGGAGACATGTGTTTTTTGTTAAAAAAACAATACCCACTAGTTTTATTTTCGATTTCAAAATCTTCAGTAGGAAGCAGATAGTACGTCATATTGGGTGCAGTCCTTCTAACCAGAAGCATCGCTGTCATTGAGTTTAGGTTGATCATGTAGGCCGTGTCTTTTGGGGACACTGTCATTGTTCAGTGTGGAAAAGTGTTCATTATATGCACTCTTAAGTGAATCCATATTGATTTTGTGGAAATACCTACCAGAGTGAAGATGTTATAAAGTTTCTCTAACATGTCATGTTTCAGGGCATGTAATAGAGTTTTAAAAATGGTCCTTTTAGTGGAGTTTCTGATAGGGGGGAAAAATGGATTTTTATATATTGTGTTGGTTTTATGCGACTTATTTTTGTACCAACTGGAAGACTTTGAAATCCATTCTTTATTTAAATGTTTCCAGCTCTCTCTTGATGCATATCTTTTTTCATTTTGACTGAAATGACACCCCCCCCACTCAAAAAAAAAAGATTACAGACAGTTTTTGCATAGAACCAATTTTAAAATTAATTTTATAAAAAGTAATTTAAACATAGAATTAATAAATGAATGATGCATATGGAATTATTTATTCTTTGAACCTGACATACTGTTTTGAAGTAAATTAAAGTTATTTCCTATTCAATTGGAGAAAAAAAATCCCAGTGCAATTAGTCAAATTAAAGGCTATAAAATTGCCATTCCAAAGAAAGAACATGCAAATCATTAAATTAAGCAACACCGAGGATGTGTTGAAAATTAAATGTTTCATTCCGTTCATCCCAAGTTTACGTTGTCTGTGTACTAAATTGGATAAAATTCATAGCGCACACTGAAGCCAAATTCATTAGGGATTAGTTTACAAGACTCTGTAGAAGTCTAATCAGCTATACAAGGCCACATTAAACAGGGGGCAAACCCCCTTAAAAGGAATTCCGGCAAAATTTTGCGAGCTGGTTTGAGCATCTCCCTTGTGTATATATATATACTTGGTCAGAAATTACTTAGTCTTTACAATTATATTGGATTTTGGAGTAAGCAGGCTAGAGGAATATTGTAATAGCTTAGTCCTTTTTCTTGAGGTCTGTTTTTGGTATTGATGTGCAAAAATCAGGGTTATATGTTGTATCAAAGAGAAAGAAAACAGCAAATTGTGCAGAAGACATGATTATTTGAAGTTTGTTGGTTTGTGTGCGTCCATGCCATTGAGCACTAAGTTCACAACATCAGTATGGTACATGCAGTGGTTATTCATCATACAGATTAATGATGGAAAAAAAGGAATTCTCAAGCTTCCATTAATGTTTCTGTGTACAGGAATACTGGAGTACAATCAATTGAACTTTTAGTTTGTTGGAAATTATCGGAGGTATAATATTATCCTGGAAATTGATGCTTTCGGAGATACGTCTGGCTAATGAATGGTATTGTGTGAGTCATCAGCAACAAGAGAGACAATCATGTTTTGTAAAGTCTGAAAGTAAAGTATAAAAATGGAGATTTTGGATATCAAAATTCATTTTTACAGAGTCCTGTTATATAGCCCATTGATGTGATTCATTCATACCCATTTGACTTAAAAAGGTTTGGGAGGAATATTACTAGAATCTTGATACTGTTGTGATGGAACAAAATTAATTTGTATATATTTTCCTTTCTCATCTTCCCCTACACCAGAGCAGTGTTTTGGAGTCAACTTTCTCTTTATGTGAAATAAAAATATGGGTGATTCGTAACTGTTTTTTTTTTTCTCCTTGTGTATTCTTCATGGCGTTTCAGAATCCACGTTTTGATGTCTTCAAACTCTTTACTAGTTGCATGAAATGTCTGTTTCATGGGAATTCGACAGAAAGGTAACTCAGTTTGTCAGTTTAATGTTAGTCAAAAATATATTGTCCATTATTTTATATTTATATGTGGTAGAATCTCGATGCATTGATTTTGTGAGTTCCGAGAGAGTTTAGTACTGTACTATAATGGATGGAATATGTTATTTGGCCCTTTCAGGATTGTCTAGCTGGATCATTGAACTAATTAAGAAATCTTTATTGGTGATTACTGTAGACATACTTAAAAAACTTCTAAGGGCATGCATTGTTATTCACCCAAGAAATTTGTTTAATTCTCTCTTTGCAGATTGAACAGAGAATTATGATTCTGTGGAAAAAGTTTAAACAATAATCAAATTAATAACAATAATCAAATTAATATCAATAATCAAAAATGTTTTTGAGAATTACAGATATTTTTCTTCTGCAGAGAAATTAGTCTGAATATATTATACACTACATTTTTCTGCAGTCAAGAAGAAATATGTTTTGATTACTATACTGTTGTCACTTGAGAAATATAACTATAGAAAATTATGGTCTTATAGAACTGAATATACTTCATAATCTAGTTGTAATGAAGGCTATACATGTATTAAGACAAATACTCAATTACATTTTTGGCGGTGAGCCTGGTTCGATCACCAGTGGCCAGATAGCTCAGTCGGTAGAGCACCTGACTGGAGATTTGGGGGGCCCGGGTTTGAATCCCAGTCGGGTCCGCTGCATTTTTCTCCTCTCCCGTTACACATAATTTCACAAACTTTTAAGTATTTTGAATGCAGTGGTAACATTTTTTTCATCTATCTTTGTCATGACTACAGTTGTATGTTGTTTGTTTTTACAGTGATGGCGGCTTCATTTCACACAAGATCCCAGCGAACACTTATCCTCAACCTGTCCCCATTAAAGTCGTCGACGTCAACATCCCCGACAAGGATAACCATACGGATACCAACAGCGAACTTCCTGCGTACGATGAGTACCTGGTAGGTAACCATGACAACCATTTGACCTTGACGTAGGCATGACAACCATTTGACCTTGACATAGGCATGACAACCATTTGACCTTGACGAAGCCATGACAACCATTTGACCTTGACATACTATGGTTCGATGAGAAATTTGTCTTGATTTTTATGTTTTGCATGTCATGAAGGTAATGCTATGAGATTTTGTATTTTCTCTTAGTTTATTGACCTTTATAGACCTGAATGACTGAGCTAAGAATAAACAAACCATAACAACATAGACAACAAACATACAATCTACATTGCAAACAAAATCATCACTGAAATAAGAATACAGGAATATTTGGTAAAATTTTGATGAATTCTCAAAGGGAGGTAACTCCTGTGACCCTAAACAATTTCAGACCTGTGTCAAAGAGTACATTTATGGTGGGATGAAAAATATGTGTAAATGCCCTGTTAAGCATCAAATTAGACATGGCAGCGTACATGTATCGGTCTGTTCTCTGTAACACATCATTTAGTGCATGTTTATATTTACGGTAATTGTAAGTAAACATGTAGGCAGGTGTGGGGGTGTATCCGTAAGGGATACAGTTCTTTGTATCAGTGACGTCAAAGTTTTTTGTCAAGATGAAAGGCTGGTGCAGAGGAATAAAAGATTTTGTGGCGTAGACAGAGACTAGTTTGTGTGGGAGCAGAAATACATTGTGTTCACATGGGACTGTTGTTATGTATGTAGAATGTAGAGCTAAGAGTTCATTTACATTTTACAAGAAGAAAAAAAGAATTCTTCATAGCAGTTGATCTGGGAATCCAAATTGGATTGCTCGGGTGCAGATGATAAATTTGTTTTACAATGTACATGAATATTTAATGGTATCTACTGTTCTAGATGCTGACTTAAACATTTGCATATCCAGAAAAAAGTCACCATTTTTTGTTACATGTAAAAGGATTTTAACCTTTTTCTAGAATTTCTGAGAGAGAGAGAGAGAGAGGAGAGAGAGATTATAAATCCCAATAACAAACACATAAATTGACTGTCACTTTATCCTAGCCTCAGGCCACGCATTATCACAAATGTCCAATTATAAGTTCACTCACCCTGTCTCTATTGTTAACACATGGGGGTATATAGCTACCAAAATAAAGCTCATCTAGACAACAAACAGTCTATAGCCCAACATGGAGGAGAGAAATCTGCTTCACACAGTGAACACAGGATGTTTGTCTGATTTAGAGGAAGATGGGAATCATGTGGATGTCTTCCTGGAGTTGTTTGGGGGAGAAGAGGAGGGGAGAGATTGGATGTGGTGGGAGGGTCAGAGGAGGGACAAATACATGACAGGGGGAACTGGGTGTATCCCCGACCTGCTGCTACAGGCCCACCTCTGCGATCAAGGCTGGCACCAGTGGGGTCAAGGCCATAGGTCAAGGTCAATCACAGAACAAATGTTATCCAGTTTCTCTTGGGTTGTCTTTTTTGTCAGTACTTGATTATAGTCAGTAGATCAGATGGATTTTTTCTTCCATTAATCAGTGTTTTCAAATATCCATTTAGGAGATTACGGTTTGCAATATTTCTTGTCAGTGTAATGAATCATTAAATCATCTGTAAGAATTAATGGTTTTTCCCCCCAAATGGCTGATTGATATAAAATCATCTTTCTTGGTGATAGAATGGAGAATTCATTGATAACAACTCAGTGCAAGAAAAAAAAAGTAAAATAAGGATAACCTTGAATACCATAGGTTTTTTACCCCTTTGATATTGAATTGTCCATCTTTTTAATATGATCTCTAGTATCGATAATATGTAGACAGTAAAAAAATGCTTTTAATGAAGTGAAGCACAGTGTGATGACTTTCATTCCTCATGCATTTTAAGTATAGATTATGAACTTAATTGACAGATATAATGAATTGATTTTATAGTGAAGCAAAATTTTTGCTGTCTCTGGCACTTTGTTTTAAGCTTGATTTACTATTCATTACATGTGTTTAAAGAACCCTAATGAGATTTATGAATGTATTTTTACGGCAACTTATGAATAGAAATTGCATAATCCACTGTGGATTTTGAAATATGAGTTTAATATTGTATAATTTTTGAATGAAGCTGCACAAATCACTCCAGGACAGGAATTGAATTATTTGAAAAGATGAAACTTTGCAGAAAATTTTTAGAAATCAACAGAATTTAATCTGAGTTTTACCTGGTGACAGCTGAAATTCAGAGATTCAAGTAAAGGAGAGAGAAAAATAGCGCAGCCCAGATTTAAATTACACTTCATAAAAATTATACGGCAAATTAGGGGTAGACATGGATTTAAGTAAACAGTGCTGAATCATGGGCATAAGAGGACAGGTAGAAAAGTATGTGAGGTATTGGTGGCCTGATAGATATGTAAATACAGTATAACACCCTGGTGAATAGAGGAATTTCAGGAGCTAAGGGAACGAGATCGTATAGCTATGACTGTAAAAACTCCGAAATGGGATATTTTATCGCTGACTTTTAGAATTTTATTTTTGTAATATTTTTACACACACCCTTCCCCCATTTGTATTTCCTCTCCATTAATAAATATTTTGAGTTTTTCACAAAGATTTTCTTTTTACACATGAAGTTTGTTTTTTTTGCAAGTTTATGTATTTAAAATACAGAATTTCGTGGAAGTATGTCACTGATGGAGGATCACTGGAAGTGATACATTGATGTTTTCTGTAGATAAACTCATATAAGATAGATTACAGCTTAAATTCACGAAAACCTGATTAATTTTTTATAGCTTAAATATTTTGGGGGCTGGACTGAAGTCTTTTAAACTTTTTCTCTCTCCCAGGTTTTTTTTCACCTTGCTACAAGAGTTGATTATAGACTGTAAAATGAAGGGTGGTTTTCATTTTAACTACGTAACAGGCCTTTAATTTAAATTCTTGGGATGCTTATAGATGTGACATTTCATTAAATATGCAGGGATTCTTTTAAACTGGGGCACTGACAAGGGAGGCCTGCTATAAGATAGGGAATTGGCGGAATATCTTTTTTTTTTTTTTTTTTTTTTTTTTTTTTGAAGAAGAAAAATTAAATTCTTTGACACCTCAACCAGGTGTGTTTTATCATTTAATTCCAAGGAGGACATACTTTTTAAGAAAATGTCTGTGTAATTTTTCTTTCAATCTATAAATCTTTCTGCAGATAGGTGCAGGTAGGAAAAAATGTAGGTGAAAATTCCATTTAACATTTCTTTCACTTGTGGTCTGATCGTCTTTCATGGAGAGATAGTTGATATCTATTCAGGAATTGTCGGAGAGATTTAAATATGAGTGTAAGGTTGAATGCAGATGCACGATTTTAATATCTAGGGATTTAAAAAGACATTAAATGTAAGGATACATGTGCCATGAAGTATGTGCTGACAGAGATTTCTAAAATGGGGGTCTGTTGACACCTTATCAGAGAGAGGAAAAAAGAAAGGTTTAAAAAAAAAAAGGAAACTAGTTTTCAACCATGTGAGTCACTCAACACACACACTTTGGATATTAAAAAAAAACTTCCCAATGTTCATTGCAAATCTGCAGGGCTAGGAAGGAATGCATACTCTGAATGTTTAACACAAGGTACATAGTGTGAATCAATGAGGAACAATGATTGGAACTGCGAGTTCCCGATCACGTATTTGAGGCCTGCGGAGAAAATAACAATCACGGAAAATGACAATTTAGAAATTATTTCTCCGAGCTTATATATGCTGTGACGTGAATGCTTTGTGTTGAGTGATTACCCTTAATACAGACCCAGAGAAAAAAAAAAGTATATATATATTCATCAGGATAGTTAACTGGTTTTAAAAGATTCACAGCCATAGGGAAGACTAGGAGAAAACTTTCTTCGATGTGGTTGACAAAAAAGGAATATATTTGAATACATACTATGGCCGCATTAAAAATTCCTGATGTATTCATACAGAACTTGCTGACTGTACACATACAGCGGCACTGTCTACCTGAGCTGTGAACGGCTTTGGAGTGGAATTGTCATTAATTTTTCTTTCAACAGCATGTCATATTTCATACGCATGACGTTCAAGTGTGGAATTTTAACCGCATGCTGGAATATTAAAGGATCGCCCAGTACTGTACACACAGATAGAGAGAGGAACATGTTTTTTTGTGATACCCCAGACACGGATCCGGTATCTTTAGAGTTGTAGAGGGGTGTTTGTCATCACCAGAAGTCGGAATTTAAGGCCGTGTGACCCAGAATTTAATTTGGAGGGATAGGTTTTTTTGGTGATTTTTTGTGAAAAAAAGGAAATTAAGGTGGATCAACCTGTGCAAGTTTGAAATTCTTTTCTTTGTTCCATGGGTTTTATACGTCTTAATTTCTTCAGTGTGGAGATGTAAGGGAATAAAAGGACATGACAAAATGTGCTGGTAAAAAGATAATAATTTTGTGATTTTGAAATTATTTCTTGCTTTGGTTGGGAGACTGTTATGTAACAAGGAAAAGATTACGTGATTCTTTTTTTTCGTTCAACGGGAAATTTACGATTGGATTAAAATATATTGTCACACTTCAGGGAGCAGAGAATGTATTATGGAAATGAGATCAAGTTTTAAAAGATGTCAAAATTCATACTGCATTTCTGTTCTGAATAATATATTGATTCTATTTTCGTTAGGAATTCACTGGTAATCAATTAACTGCTGTCTGGTACAGTATGACTGTGTATGAACTTCCACCTTGTCAATTTTAAAAAGAATTTTTTGGTTACAATTATATTGAATAATTCGCTGTGTAATAGCTTCAGAATTTCTTATGCATTCAAACTGTCATGGTTGTCTGCATGGCTGCGCCTATTTCACCTCGACTTCGGAGAAATAGGGACAAGCCAGTTAGCGGACTTGAACCTCACGGTAAAATTCGACGTCGTAGAGTCACCAGAAGTGAAAGCCTGGAAACCCGCCCCACCAAAAAAATACCCAAAGAACTCGCCTTCGCTATGG